CAACAAGGGGAAATGCCCCCTCGGAAATGCAACATGGTGTATATAAGACAGGGTAAGTACTTTCATGGCTCAATTGTGTCCATGTGCAAAACCATGCACTTTGCAATTGTTTTTTACATGGATTACTCAATGACCAAAGCCTTATCCCAAGTTTCTCAGACCGATGTCGTTCACCCCCTCCAGTGTCTCAAGCGAGTGCAGTGCCAAGGTTGTATCAACATGGTGATGGATCGATGGTTTGAGGCATTAATAGAAAGTTTATGTTTTTTTGTTAATAATCACTTTCCACATATGGTTGAAACTAAACATGTCCACATTTTCAGGGTGCTGTGCTTGGACCTTGTGATGAAAGACAGAAGACCAAAGAGAGCACATGTTGGAACACCTCAACATTCAATAAATTGCATTCATCTGCCTTTCAGATTGGTGTTTTTACATGTGGGAAACCTAGAGTGTAGCGTGTGCCTGTTTTAATACTGATCCAAACATAGGTTCTACAATCAGGTTTTTTTTACTGTTGGCATAACTGTTCAGTACAGTAGTGTTCATAACACTGTGCCCTGTGTGCTTTAACGTGTACTTTGATGTATGAGAAAACATGATTTTTTAATGCAGCTCCATTTGCAATATTGCTGATATCCTTCTACTACATTGTTCTAAGGATTTTTGAATGCTGTGTTTATCGTTTATTGCCGCAGAGTCAAACTAATCATGATAAAGCTGCATGTCAGTATTCACAAGCTAAAATCTGGAACTGGTCTTCGCAGAAAATGTGAGACCAGGCTGCTTCTTGACAGGTTAAAATCCGGTTTAAAACACTTCTGTTATCTGCTCAACTGAGAAATTTTTATGAGAATTTGAATTTTTATCTTTTTAATTTACTGTCAATTATTTAAATTGAATGCCTGTTTGATGGTTTCTATCTTATGTTCCAGTGCTTTGATTTTCCCTTTTGTTTTTTGACTGTGCATACAAATAAACTTGCCTTGCCTATTGCTAAAAGGATGTCTCACCATAAGTGATTCTGCAGAGGTTAAGTAGGGTCAATAGAACTGTAAATGGACCCGTCATATAAACGTCAATATTTGGTCATATAAGACGTCGAGAGGACGACGGACCCGACCTGTTCTGTACCACTTTGCAACCTTGGAAGTACCGTGGCGCGACGTCATTTGAACGGCCAGATAACTCCAGCATACGTTGAAATGACAGTGTTTTGACATCTGCCTTGCTTAGTGAACAACAAAACGAACGGCATATGAAGGCAATATTTTGGTCATATGAAGCCGTTGGATAGACGTCGGACCCGACCAGGGTTCTGTACCACATAGCAACCTTGATGAACGACCAGATGACGTGGAAAATTACGTTGTTTTGACATCGGCTTGCTTATGGGAACGACTGAAAACGAACGTCATATAAACGTCAAGATTTTGGTCATAAGAGACGTTGATAGGACTCATACCCGACCGGATTTCCGTACCACATTCAAACCTTGCATTGACGTGCCATCAACCGAACATTTGGGAGGGTTGAGGTGACGGTCGGGAAACGACGTCGAGAAAAACGTTCATTCTAGCACCGCACCAGGTGACACTCTATTCGACGTTCACATTACGTTTGATTCAACGTCGGCTTGCTTAGTGGGAAGTCCAGATGATGAAGCACTGCTTTGAGTCACAAAGAAAGTGAAAGTGTGCCCCTTTCTGTTTGCTGCTGGAGAAGCTGTTGCTGGATGGTGAGGTTCAGCCCCGCCCAGCTAGTCTTTGGCCAGGAAGTCTGAGGTAAGTAAGTAATCTTTATTTTATATCCAGTCTTTTTCTCTGCACATCAGAGTCTCAAAGGAGCGGTTTACAATTGTTATTTTTGGGGCATTTGTCTCTCAGCTCCACACAGAGATGGGGAGCGGGGTCGGCCAGTATAGGAAGGCGCATGCCATAGCCTATTGTACATATTTTTTAGTGGTAAAGGGAAACCGAGTACCGGGAAGGAAACCTACGCAGACACCGTGGAGAACATGGCAAACTCCATTCAGAAAGGCCCTGTCCGACCGGATTCGAACCCAGGACCTTCTTTGCTTGAGAGCGAGAGTGCTATTCCACTCAGCCCACCGTGCCGCCCAGGTCCTTTGAAGGTTCGAAAAGAGCACCTCATTTAAACCTCAAAAGACTGTCAAAAACTCCATAGACATGTCACTACACTTTGGGATCGGTTTTAATAACTGAGCTTGCTTCCCCAGCCCGTGTCTTGGCTTCTGCTGACCGTAATGGAATGCACCATTTGACAAGAAGGCTATTGTCGAACAGCTTCTACCTGTGACACGGCTCTACTTCTCTTTACCGATTACCATGCTCATCAGTGTCCCCTACATTCTCTGTCTTATGTTTGTATACAAGAAGCTGAGTGACGCAAACTACGTCTTGCACACAGCCGTCGAAGCGGCGCTCAAGGGTCGCTATGTGGAATATGCTGAACTCTAACAGCACACGGAGTGACCAGCAAACACCGGCCATCCCCTGCGGTGATGAGAAGGCATCGCCTGTTGTTGCTCTACACCAAGGTGAGTTTTCTACTGAACCTGAAGATGGCTGAAAAGTGGGAAGTCTCAATGAAATCTTGTAAAACAACACCATTGATTTGCACCCTCTCTAATACACTAGACCCAAGGAGAAAATGATTGTTTTCAAATTATCCTGGACGAGCCCCCAATTTTGGCGGTATGACCAGGATAAAGATGAAACAAATAATTGAAACAGAGGAGCAGCTACACAGAGACAAGTGCAGTAAAAAACTATAGTTGGATGTCCTGTGGCTACTAACCGATCATACGAAGACTGGGTTCCAGGGGAGTGGAAAACGTAAGAATTCAGATCCTAGTCTGCAGAGTGGAACACTCAAGATAACGTCTGCCAGCGGGGGTTTCTCTTTCACACCAGCGTGAGGGAAAAGGTGTGAATTTCCCTGCCTGAACGACCCCACTCCCCGCAGCTCCCCGCACGTAAATTTGGACATGCACATAGCGGAAAACAAACAACAAATGGCGGCGGGTACACAAACGAGCTGTGGGGCTTTCGAGCTCGTGTTGCAGAGATGATAATTCTACTCCCTTCGTTCATCCAAACGAGACCTCGCAAAGTTTTTCGCTTCAGTTTCCATTTTCCACAACTTGCTGTTACAAATACAGAAGATGTTGGTGCGCTCCGAGGTCTGGCACAGGAAGTGGGTAATACTGCTCGGGAGGGGGTTTTCTTACCACTACTGGCGCGGGAGTGGCGCCTAGAACTACAATAGTTTTTCAACCTTGTCTGAAACGCTGAGAAATTTTGCGTAGGAGCCTGGTCCCGTTTCTGCAAATTAGAAGCCTGGAAATGTTTGCGCTGCCGTCTCAGTATAAACTCAGCCGGAGTCACTCATGGGTTTGGCAATATTCCTTGTTTAAAAAGCTAAACAAAAACGTATAACAGGTGGGAGTGGCGTCCGCCCCAGGTTGTGCCAGAACTAACAGAACTCTACAAAACTAGTCCACCAAAAGGAAATGAAACAAAAAATGCCAATCTTTTATCCTAAATAAGAGGTAGCGTGTAAAAAACAAGATGGCAACAACGGCTAAACTAATGCATCTAACAAAAACAGCTGAAGACGAAGAGGAGAGAAAATGAGCCAATACTAACATATTCCATGGCAAGACCTCTTCAAAAACGCCTTCTTTACTGGATGGACCAAAATAGGCTCTTGGGCCCAAAGCTCCGTTCCACCATGTGTGTCAATGCTGAGGTGGGTGAATTTTTTTTGGTCCACCTATTTACTTGCTTGAATTTTTGAAGTCATCCGGCGCAGAGTGTTTTTTTCCATAGACTGTTATATATTAACGGACAGAGTCACGCCTATCGCCGCCGTTCTAACTAATGGGCCAAAAAATGTGCTCTAACTGGAACAATCCGAATTGGCCGCGAGGTCGCCGCCCATCAAGAAAATGTGGTAAAACGCATCGGGATGCGCCAGCCGGTGCGGCGCAGCCCCCATTCATTGAACGAAGAACTTCAAAAATTCACAGCAAGTAAACTAGAGGGTGGACCAAAAAAATTCCCCCACCCCCCCCCTTTATATGTTTAATATATGGTACAATGTATGATTAAATATATGATTAATTGTTGAAACAGGTATTATAGATATATAAATATAATATATATTATAGCAAACATGGTGGATGCAATTAACACAGACTATTGGGCATCTACAAAAGCCCTAACTTTAGTTTCTTTTAATATCAGATAAAAAAACATATCAGAGGGTGGTTAGGTAAGTAGGGGGGGTACATTGTTAACAGTGCAAAATTCGGAGGGGCAATGAGTTAAACTATACTTACACAGGCAATAGTGCTAGTACTAAACTTAATATATTCAATGACAAAAATTTGGGACGATGCACCGTGGCTGAGCTAGATTATATATGTGGATGGGGAATGGAGAGAACAGAAGGAGTCTTAGTGGCAGGCCGGTATATGGGTTGTTATTATGATTAAGGGGGTTCTGTTATAATCATTTAAAAATATTGATTAAGGATTTTGAAGAAAGGAAAAAATATGATAAAGGAAAATAGTGAAAATAAGATGAAGAAAGAAGGGGATGTGGATTGATTTTAGGGTTGTATTAATTATAGATGTATTTGGTAAGGGATGTGAGGGGTTGGGGAAGAGGGGAAGAGTGAAGGAAGTAAGAGGGGGGATGGTGGTGAATTGGGGGGGGGAGGGTAAAATAAGGGATGGGTGGGGTAGTGTGGTGGGGGGTAGGATTATGTTTTGAAAATGATGTGATAAAGTGGAATGTAATGGGAGGGGGTATTGGGGGGGGAAGGGAGAAATTATGGTGTTGGGGGGTATGAGGAGGGAAAGGGGGTGGGATAAGGGTTTGTTGGTTTGTGGGTAATAGGTATTGTGTTTTTTGGGTTTGATATATTATTATGGTTTGGTGTAATATATTGGAGTGTTGGGTGAGTTGTTGATGGGGTGGGGGGGGGGGGGTTTGGGGGGTGTATGTGGAGGGGGGAATGGGATGGTGGAAAATGTATGGGAATGGGTTGGAAGGGGGGGGGTTTTGTGTAGGTTGGAGTTGGGGGGTTTGTGTGGGTTGTTAGGGGGTGGGGTAGTTGGGATATGGTTTGTGAGTTGTTTGATAAATAGGTAATGAGGTTGAATAAATTAGAGAAATTTTGGGTTTTTTTAGAATGTTTTGTAGGGGGGGGATTTGGGGGGGGGGTGTATGTGGGGTGGGGGGGTGGGGGGGGGTTGATAGTGGGTGTGGGTTGGTGGGTATGGGGGGGGTGTGGGGTGGGGGTTGGGGGTGTTTGTTGGGGGGTAAGTTGTGTTTGATAATGGGTGTTGGGGTTGGTTTGGTTGTGGATGTTATTTTGGGTAATTGGGGGGTATGATGGGGGGGGGGATTTTGGTTTTTTTAAGTTTGGGGGGGTGGTTTGGTTTGTTGGTTTGTGTGTGAGAGTGTTTAGGGAGGGGGAGTGTTTTTTTGTTATGTGGTGTGTATGTTTGGGGTGTTTAGTTTTGAGGGGGGTGTTTTGGATTAAGGAGTGGAATTAGAGTTAGAGAGTAGGGGGAGGGAGTGGAGGGGGAGAAGGGGTGTTAAAATGATGATGGTGGAGGAGTAGGTATATAGATTGATGATGGGGGAGGGACCGAGCACGTTTGGCAATTGTTAGGGTAGCCATTAAGTTGAAGAGGCGCTACACAGACGTTGTGAGGCTAAAAGTGAATGTTTATCTATTTGGGCCTAAAATGTCCCATAAAAATTTACCAGGTACATGTAAGAGCGCTATAAGAAACATATGTATGCAGTTTTTAAGCTTCAAAAAAGTTGATTTGGTGCGTAGTTGTCCTGTAATGACAGAAAAGTTTTATGCCCCGCAGAAACCCTTGGTATCACCAAAATGACAATTAAAAAAAACTTACTGTGAAGGTCTGCAAGGTGTGGAAAGTGACGTTTTTAAGTGCACCTTGGCCCGTCACTTCGCAGGATCGGTGCATCCGCATGTATGGTGGGTGGTTGGTCAACATCTTTGGTGACGGTGCTCATGAGACAAGCTTTCTCACCTCCAACAACAGAGCTTGGAAATTCTGAAAAAAAAAAAAAAAAAAACTACAAAGATTTTACAGACACCAACCCATGAAGACCAATATTGTTTTTGGTCCCAAGAAGCTACACATCTAAGGAATAATAATAATCATTACCAGAGCAAAGTTATAAAATGAACACTGACTTCATGTAAGACCACATGTGTCAAAGGTCAAGGCCCCGCGTGCCAAATCCGGCCGCAAATGAATTTACATGGCCCGTTGGCGCCATTGACGCACTATTACGTCAATTGCGGTTTCCCCCGCTATTGACATGTTCCCAATGTCTATTATATCTAATATGGTTTGGGGATAAGCTTGAGAGCATATTGAATCGGAGCCAGCAGGTGCAGCAGCGCTCTCTGGGCAAGGTTTGAAAACAGCTAGATGCACTTTTTTGTGCCTCTTTTTTCTCACTTTTGGTGATTGCAGTAAATCTTTTTAACTCTTCCTCTAACTCAACTGGGATATACAAGCTAGAAACAAAATTCTTTTTTGCTGATGAAAGTAACAGTCTATTCTTTCAGAATCTGGTTTCGGATTTCAGATAGTCCATAGTACACAATATTCTGTGGGTCCTGAAAATCTATAAAAAGCATCAGAAACGGCTGGCAATATGGGAGTACCTGTTCGGAAATAGGCGGACGGCAATGAGTTTAATAAACAATGAACAGTCCCGGCCCTCACGCTCGTCAGCAATTTGTTTGTTTTGGCCCTCTGAGTATGTTGACTTTGACATGCCTGATGTAGACTATATCATGCTCATCGATACCATGGGCTCATTAACAGTAACAATTATGATACAGAATACAGATTGTGGCTGATTGTGTATCACGTGGCCCCATCATATAGACAAAATGCTACCGCATTTCGTTGGCTTTTTGTGCCATGTGATACAATATTTGATGGTATAGATTCCGATACTATGCCTTAACTACCATGGTCCGCAGTTTAGAGTTTTCTTTATAGTAAGGGCCTTGCTCTGCTCTGCAACCTAATAGAAAGTCATCGCTTTCCTGGCTTTGATGATGTTGCGGGACCCTGGCTGAACCTCAACCACGTCCTGCACAGCTTCTCCAGCAGCAAACAGCACAAGGGACACACTTTCACTTTCTTTTGTGACTCAAAGCATTGCTTTTCCTCAACATGGACTTCCCACTAAGCAAGCCGACTGAAATCAACGGAATTTTGAACGTCGAATATAGGTCCAGGTGGGTGTGAATAACTTTTCTCGACGCGTTTCCTGCCCGACGTCCACATCAACCACCAAACTATGTTACTTTGAGGCACGTAATTCAAGGTTTAAGGTGGTACGGAACCGGTCGGGTCTGACGTCCCTAATCAACGTCTCATTATCCCAAAATATTGACGTTATAGGACGTTTTCCGTTTTCAGTCGTTCCCACTAAGCAAGCAGATGTCAAAACAACGTAATTTCAACGGCATCTGGACGTTTCAATCAAGGTTTGCCAATGTGGTACAGAACCGGTCGGTCCGGACGTTCCTATCAACTCTTATATGTCCAAAATATGCCTTCATATGACCGTTTCGTTTTCCGTTGTTTCCCACTAAACAAGCAGAATGTCAAAACACTGGCCTTTTCAACGTCTTCTGACGTTATCGGACGTTCAAATGACGTCGCGGCGCGGCCACGTTCATGCAAGGGTTGCAATGTGGTACAGAACCGGGCCGGTGTTCCGACGTCCTCTCGACGGCTTTATAGGGACCAAAATATTGACGTTATATACGTCCATTTACAAGTTCTATTGGACCACTTAACCTCTGCAGAATCCCTTACTGGTCGAGACATCTTTTTGGCAATAGGCAAGGCAAGTTTATTTGGTATAGCACAGTCCAAAACAAAAGGAAACTCAATGCACTGACAAAAGATAGAAACAATCAAACAAGGCCATTACAATTAATAACTATTGACAGTAAATTAAAAAGATAAAAATAAAATCTCTCATAAAATCGCTCAGTTTGAAGCAGAAACAGAAGTGGTTTTAAACCTGGAAGTTTAACATTGGTCAAAGAAGAAGCCCTGTCTCACATTCCAGGAAGACCGTTCCAATTTTAGCTTGTGAATCTGGTAGATAGATTTATAGATAGATATCGTTAGATAGAGAGGGAGATAGATGGATCAGTGGGTTTTTTAGTCATTCTTTGCAGACACAGAAGGGTCTAAGGACTGTGATGATCCTGGACATTTGAGACCAAATATCAACATTTATGAAGATTGATCATCCACTCATGGATGTGTTTGTTATTATTGCATTTCCAGTGTTTGAACTGTTTTATTCCATGATATTTGTGAATCAACAACATTGTAAAGTCATCATGACTGCTGTTGGGATTTCGGGCTGTTAAAAAAAATGAATTGAATACGATGTAAACAGTATACAGTGGTCCTATTTGACTCTGCATTTCACATTTACAAAACTCTTCCCGTTTGGACCTTGTGTTATTTAAGGGGAATAAGTCAGGTACCTCAGCTTTAATCTTTTTTTTTTATTTCCCTGCATACACACAATTTGTACAATAAGAGGCCTTTTATTTCTCCTACAGTGGGCAATATAAATTAACAATAACTTTACTAAAATATGATTAAATCTCTAATTTTAGTGCAGTAAGGAAGCAAGTATAATTCTCCCTCCTTAGCATAATGAAGCAAGAATAAAGTATAATATCTCTGACTTAAGCTAATAAATAAATAAGCATAACATATTAAAAAGCAGTATAATGAAGAAGCATGGATAATACCAATATATAATACTGTAGTTATGTTGATCTTCGAACAGTTTGTGAATGATACTGGCTTAAAGCTTACATTCTGTTTCAGGTGAACATGATTGTCCTGGGGAAACACCTGGGCATCCCGAAGCCGTTTGGGCCGAAAGTGAATGGGACGTGTGCCCTGGAGCAGGAGATGGTCTCTCTGATGGGGGGCCTGGGCCTGAGCTGCACTTTCATAGATGATTTCGCCTCTTACCACAAACAACACGGAGAAGTGCACTGCGGATCTAATGTCCGCCGAGCTCCCTTTGAGTTCAAATGGTGGAACATAGAAATGTGAAAGAGCTTAAAGGCACATTTGCTGTTGTTCACAACCTTTTGCCAATTTTTTGTTGTGAGTAAGCAGAAAAATCTTACATCTTAAACATAATACATAGAGTATGACATGAAATACACATTACAGGGGGCAGTCTTGTTCATTTCAAAAACCTTGCTTTTATACAACTTAATTTTTGTTTCATTATGGAACAACACAGACGAGAAGGATTTACTGGTCGACTCATTTCATTTAACACCACACACAGCTTATTCGCTTCCTCAAGATAATTATTGCTTTAGTCAAGCTGAAATTTGTTGATTCCATCCAAAGGTAATATGTTCTTGAGCTTTCATTCATTTATTCATTCAGTCATTCATTCATTTTCTACCTCGTTATTTTCCATTTCAGAGTCGGGGCACAATATTTCTGATATTTACAACCGTGTATTTTTCCATTTTAGTATAAATAGTTAGCAAATAGCAAAGACTGCAGTTGTTTAAGTCCCTTTAGGAGGGGACCCACAAATTACAAAGACAAGAAATACATTTAAGGAAAATGTTTGTTGATTTTAGTATAATTTAATTCAAAGAAATGTTTTCTTTGAATTGAACAATTGTCTACAGCCATACCTCAAGCAGTTTTGTTTTACTTGTTCTAACTTCCATTGGCAAATCTTTTGTTCTCAAATAATGTTTAAAAAAGTTATTAAACAACTGATTACAAGCATTTTCTCTCTTGTGTGTGTTTTTTTAAGCCCGAGCCCCGAATGGGGTAAGGGCCTATTGCTTTCACAATGGTGAATGCTTCCCGCCTCCGTCGAGCAAAGACGTGTCTCAGACGCTCCTGCTTCTGACTGCTTGCTATCTCCTGTTTTTGTCTTTTTCCTGGAGTTTTGCCACAGACAACTTTTAGCAAGAATGGAAATGGTAAATTGGTCCCTCAACGCAATTGATTCTATCTTTTCAACACGTAAGCGTGGGTCTGGAGAGCCCGAGTGCCCGGACGGGACTTCACCAGCGGGGTATACTCTTGACAGCTGGAACAAGTTTCAGCCCCTCTGTCTGTCGACCCTGTCCATTGAAGATTCGGAAGACGTATATATCTTTGGCTTTTTGGTGGTGGGGATCCTCCTGTTTGGGTTTGGAGCGGTTCTATTCTACCATAAATTCGGAGGCATGGCAGTTCGCAAGATTCACGACCTGCTGGCCGACAAAATTGATGGGATGTACAAGGAGCTTAGCCGAGTCGTGGTTGAGAGCGCTGTGGCTGGACAAAGAAGAGTGGTTTTGGTGGAACAGTTGATCAGAGATCTCGCAGCTCGTTCACTTGATGGGCATAAAACTCTGGAATTGAGATTGAATGACATTGTTTGTCACGCTTGAACTCTCTGACCCGGCTTGGATTGGCCCCTGTGTACGGGGTTTGAGGGCGCCGCAATTCGGTTTAATTGGATTTAATAGAATATCTGCCTGTTTTTGACTGCTAGAATGCATACTAGATTGTCCCTTGTTACAGGAAGATGTGTTTTTCTCCTTGCTGTGTCTTCGCTCCTCTCTTATCTCACATTCCTCGGGCCAAGGCCATGATAATAAATCTGGTCTCTACAAAAATTTCACACTCTTTCAGTCTTCCAGTTTGGATCCCGCTCCCCCCGCCTCCCTCTGATCTCTCCCTCCCCTCCCCTCCTCACTGTGTTTCCGACTCACCCCCTCCCTGACCCCGCCCCCCTCTGACAGCCACATTGGACCGGCAGCCAGAGGTGCTCATCCCGAGAAAAAAATCCGTGGTTTATAAAAAGCACAATGTTTTCTATCCAACTGTCTGTTGTAACCTGTATGTTATTGCTCTCTGCTGTTTATTCTACTGTTTGTCGCATGGCGCCGGAAAAATGGCGCCGTGGCAAGAGCTCTGGTGTGTGTCGTCTCTGTCTGGCGCACACCGGGGTAGTCTTGCACAGTTTTTCCAATGTGGTTTTACTGCAAATGGCAAATAAATGAATCTGAATCTGAATCTGAATCTGAACAGTTTCAATGATTCAACAGTTTCAAGGACTTCAGCAGTTTCAAGGTTTCAAGAGTTTCAAGGACTTCAACAGTTTCAAGGACTTCAACAGTTTCAAGGACTTCAACAGTTTCAAGGACTTCACCAGTTTCAAGGACTTCAGTGTAATCATGCAACCTAATAGGGATTTTTCCATGTAAACCAGTATAATGCAACTTAATAGGGGTTTTTACATGTAAACCAGTATAATGCAACTTAATGGGGATTTTTCCATGTAAACCAGTATAATGCAACTTAATAGGGTTTTTTCCATGTAAACCAGTATAATGCAACTTAATAGGGATTTTTCCATGTAAACCAGTATAATGCAACTTAATAGGGATTTTTCCATGTAAACCAGTATAATGCAACTTAATAGGGTTTTTTTCATGTAAACCAGTATAATGCCACTTAATAGGGTTTTTTTCATGTAAACCAGTATAATGCAACTTAATGGGGATTTTTCCATGTAAACCAGTATAATGCAACTTAATATGGGTTTTTACATGTAAACCAGTATAATGCAACTTAATAGGGTTTTTTTTTACATGTAAACCAGTATAATGGAACTTAATAGGGGTTTTTACATGTAAACCAGTATGATGGAACTTAATAGGGGTTTTTACATGTAAACCAGTATAATGCAACTTAATAGGGATTTTTACATGTAAACCAGTATAATGCAACTTAATAGGGATTTTTCCATGTAAACCAGTATAATGCAACTTAATAGGGTTTTTTACATGTAAACCAGTATAATGCAACTTAATGGGGATTTTTCCATGTAAACCAGTATAATGCAACTTAATAGGGGTTTTTACATGTAAACCAGTATAAAGGATAACAGTTTAAAGGATATCAGGAGCTTCAAATACTTCAGGAGTTTCAAAGATGTTTAAAGTATTTTAACAGTTTCAAGGATTTCAAGGATTTTTCAGCTAAATTCCACATTAGATCTGTTCCGCAGTCAATCGCAATGGCTTCAGCCATTGCAAGTTTCTAGTTTTTTCTGAAAACTCACAAGTTGTGGAAGCTGAACATGCACAAACTGCAGAAAATGCTGAAAATGTTGAAGAAAATTCTGAAAACTATGAATTTGTGGAAGCCCCATTATAAGTCAATGGGAAAAATCGACCGATTTTTGTCCGATTGCGGAAAAACCGGAAATCGCTGAAGTCCCAAAAGTAATAGCAATAATCTCCCAAACATGTGGAACGTTTTGATGTATAACTTGTGGAAATTGTTGAAAATGTGAAAGCTGTGAAACGTGTCAAAAATCAGGAAAAAGACGGAATAATAATAAAGAACGTGAAAACCAATGGTTGACTGCGGAAGGTTCCGCAGTCAATCAATAATGATCTTATTTGAACTTTTGGGTTGATTTAACTTTAAATAAATAAAAAAACACGGTAAAAAGATTCCAGTTTCCATTGTAGGAAGTATTGAAGTGTGTTAGCTTGAGTATAAGTCATCTTCCTTTTTGATCAATATAATTGTTTAAGAATCCTCAGTGTCACACCATGTTATACAAATTGCTTGAAGCACAGGGCATGTCTTCAGTTCCACTCGATTATGTTTAGTCGACAACAGCTCTAACCCCTCTTCACCTTCTACTTGCTCCTTACTCTCTGCCCCCATTGACTTTCTTTGGTAGTGATGGTGGAGTCATTAGAAAGAGGGCAGAGGCACTTTGTCAATGTGGCCACACAGTTCCCTGGCCATCAGGCTGAACAAGACTTGGACTTGTTCCTCTGATGGAGAGCAGCGGCTAAATCACTCAGATAAATCCAAGAAGACACAGAGAGAAAAGAGAGAACCTGCTGTCAGTTCAGAGAAACAAGTAATATAACCACATAGGGTTGGAGATACAGCCAAGTTGCACATGATTAGATTAAAGCTTGGAGGTCACTGGTTTTCATTGTAGTTTTATGGTATACCTTATGGGTTTATAAAACATTTCTCATAGCGTTTTTTTGTTTCCAAAGTAATGTGATACTATAGAGAAATTCCTTTTATCTTCCTTGCATCAGGTTTCTTTGTGTCGTGTATGCAGATGTGTTAAAAATTGTCTTTACTCTAAAAGTTTGCTGTCATTGTTTCTTTTAGAATACTTTCTACAGTATTTTTGGCTGAAATTTTTATTCCAGTGTCTTACTTATACTGAACTTCCCCCCAGACTAGACAATCAGCTCAAGGTTGTTACCTCTGCACCAGGGACCAGCCGGTCCACGTCCCTCCTGTAAGTGGACTTATTGTTGAAGAAATGAATCTAATGAGGATGTTGTACACAAACTTGATCAGTTTCACAGTCATGATGGAGGTGCAGTGGTTGGTGTTGGCTACTACTGATGGCTACTACTCAGGGACGTGCGGTGAGGTTTGTGATTGGGGAGGCACTGACTTTAAAAGTCAGATTTACAATCATTATTCAAATAAAATAGCATTTAATCACCAATGCAATGACATCCACAAACTTTATATACTGTAAAGATAAGAGAACCAGCTTCTTTTAATAATCTCACAACAAATCTAGCTGCTGACTCTGCTCCGCATCAAACAACATCTTTAAGAAGCGCAGGTGCGAGAGACGCGAGGAGAGAGACGCGAGGAGAGAGGAGCAGAGAGAGACAGAGAGGAGCAGAGAGACGGAGACGCGAGGAGCAGAGAGAGACGGAGACGCGAGGAGAGAGAGACGCGAGGAGAGAGGAGCAGAGAGAGACAGAGAGGAGCAGAGAGACGGAGACGCGAGGAGCAGAGAGAGACGGAGACGCGAGGAGAGAGAGACGCGAGGAGAGAGGAGCAGAGAGAGACAGAGAGGAGCAGAGAGAGACAGAGAGGAGCAGAGAGACGGAGACGCGAGGAGCAGAGAGAGACGGAGACGCGAGGAGAGAGAGACGCGAGGAACATAAACAATAATTTAAACAAGTTGCAGAACTCTTGAGCAGTGTTTGAATCAGTGTTTTTCGGAAAAGCACTACTTT